CTATCCCGGATCTTCTCAAAGATGTCGCGGCTCTGGGTTATGCCTCTCTACTACCAAAACTGTCGAACTTCAATGGAGCATACCTTCATCGTCCCTGGAAGAGCCTATTCGGGCTAGTCAACAAGTGCCTGTCTCCAAAGCATGCCGGGCTTGACAAATGCAACAAGCAAATACTCTGCGTCTTCCACGGCATTGCATACAACAAGAAGTATGACATGGCTCAGCTCTTCTTCTCAGAGCTAATAGACCTGGTGAAAGCAAAAGAGAAAAACAGGGCAGGCACCATTCCATACGCCAGGTGGTTGGGGCTGATCATCCATGACTACATGACAGCAAACACATCCATTCCTCGACGTACTGATGATCCACACTTCATAGCCCCAAAGCTCCAATACTTCAAAGCTGATAAGAAAGCAGCTCAGGGCCTGCGGATTCAAGATGCTCTGCTCAATCTGGCAAATCAGTCAAATCCAACCATCATCAAATACAAGGAGAACCTTGAGAGAACAGTCCCGATGGTTCAGCAAATCCCAGCTGGACCTACCCCGGGGACTAAGCCGAGTGTAAGTAAGGGTCCAAAGAAAGCCCCAAAGCCACAGAAGCCAGTGGCACGCCGGCCCGATGAAGGAGAGTCTGATGAATCTCTCGAGAGGACTCGAACGACTGAGGGCAAACCGACGAACGCTGAGGAATCTGCTGATGACTCGCTCAGCTCGGCCCATAAAGAGGCTGACGACGAGGCTTCCGATAGCGTGGTCAGAAGTGACAATGACGATGATGATGATGATGACGATGATGTTGACGATGTGGACCACACCTTTGCTCTAATCCAAAAGGGTAAGCTGCCTATTGAATCTCCTCCGAAGAAAATTACCGTTGAGGATGCAACCCCCATCATTGCTACACGCCCCAAAGAGCTCGTCATCAAGACCGTGGAGGCCGGTCATACTATAGCAAGTGCTACCGGCATCGTCAGGGAGCAACGCATCAAAGCGAAAAATGATGCTCCCCAGTCACTCAACCCAAAGAAGCGGCGCCTCGTCAAAAGAAACCTAGTTGACGAGGACGACTTGTATATCTTCGCCGATTGTCAACCCTTCATTAATATAAGCCGAGCTGAATCCTTAAGTGCAGGAGCCGATCTTTTCGGTCTCCAAGTAGAAGCCGCAGCATCAGGCTCAACTGCGCATGCACCACCCTCACCTAGCCACTCGTTAGCCTCCCAACAGGCTAACGTTTCAAAACAGCGGGATTCACCCACCTCTCTGGTTCCCTCTGAACCAGTTGAGCGAATCAGTGGCCAACAGCCCGAGGCCACCACCACTTCCTTGAGCACATCGAGTCTAGGTGTCACACTCCCTACATTTTCTAATTTTTCTAGGACACCTACACTATTCACCGCACATACAGGTGCACGCACCCTGGAAGCAACGACCAGAGTACCAACGATGACGGTCGGAAGCCCTGCTACGCCCGCAATGACCCCATCATTGAATGCAGGCCACACATCAGCTCTCTTCACTGATGCTGTGACAATAGTTACAACCCCTGTAACTGAACACCTCACTACCGAAGACGTCACCGTTCTTATGCACCGTTTCTTGGATTCCACCATTAAGCCACGGGTGCAACAAGCATTTACCGCTTGGGCACAAGAATCCAAGAACACCCCGGCAGTGCATAGTGAACACAGCCAGCCTGAACCATACCCATCACCTTCTCACTCCAAATCTCAAACCTCTCCAGTCATCTCCGCCACCTCCACCAAAGTCCATAGCCCTACCTCTTCTCGGGGAACCCATGATACAGACCAAGTATCATCCCCACACCCGACCACACCTCCCATTGAACTACTTTCCCAACCCTTCGAGGTCCTGGCATCTGCCTTGCTGGATCATCTCCTAAACATACCCCACACCGACCTCACTCCTTACCAGCAAGGCGTCCTTACTGCCTTTCTCGCTGATTCGGACACCAAGGGCACCTGCCGTGAAAGTCCCCGTGGTCGCAAACGTTCACATGAGGACCCCGACGATCCGGAACCTCATGAGGGGGAGAAAAAGAGGCCACAGATACTCGAGCAAGGTGCTTCTATCACTCATACCCCCCAAACCGAACAACCCGAGACTTCCATCAACCAACCACCACCTTCCCCTTGCCAAAACCAAGCCCATCTCTCTAGCGTGGTCGAGCTAGAAGAAACATCTCGAGGCTTATCTTCTAGAGATATTGTCCGAGGAGGAGATGGAAGTCCTGATGATGCTACCCTTGGTACATCAATAAGCTCAGGCCATCAGTCAGACCCTGTGTCGAAGCTGATGACAACATCCCGAGGCGTATCTCCCAGGGATACTGTTCGAGGAGGGGATGGAAGTCCTGGTGATGTTACTGTAAGTACATCCTCAAAATCAGGTCATCAGTCAGAACCCGGTTCTAAACTGATGTCAACGGGCAATCTAAGTGAACCCGGTTGTGCTACCCAAGAACAATCACCGCTCCAACAGCAGCAAAGAGTTCCATACATTCCCCAGGCAAGGACATCCACGACGCACTGGAGGATGCGGTGATACATGATAAATGGCCAAAACAATGGACAGAATGGGATGATCTCCGCAGTGAGGCCGAGATAGATGACATGCAGAGAAACTGGTGGCTTCGAGAACTACTGACCAAATGCTCTGAAGACATTGTCAGGATCGAGGAAGATGAAATCAAGGAAGGGGAGAACTACAAAGAGACCCAGAGGAAGCTTGAATCTGTAGTAAGACAAACGGTGGGACGACTTCCCAAGGCCGAAAAACCCTGGAAGAATGTTAGTATAAGAGCCCCCTTCCAAGAGGAAATCAGAGAGCGCATCTGGCGTAGACCGGACAAAATCAAGCCCCTGAATGAGCTAAAGCTTCGAAGTCTCACACACCTCAAAGGAAAACAAGCAGGAGGCCATCTACATATGCTGATGCATCGATCATCCGGATCTCAAAGAGCTGCACTTGAAAAAGATCTGAGATCCAGCATACATCTGGTTCATGATATCCTGGAAGTCAAGGCTGAAGATCATAACACAATCAAGTTCTACTCCTATAAGCTGAGGCGCACAGACGAAAGCATATTTATTTGTCAAGAGAATGACTTCATCATGATGAAACCGGATGACATATATCAAATGTTCATGGCATATAGATACTTTCCAATCAGGAAGAGTAGAACTTACAGAGAAGGTTTTGAAGCCATTAAACGATTCATGCTCCGACAAGTCCGAGTTCATTCCACCCACGACCTGCAGATGGCTATAGAAAACAACTTGTCAAAGACAAATCTTGCACAACCACGTCTTCAAGGTCCAGAGATCAATGACTTCCCAGCTTACCACATATTCTTCAGTCCACCAGCAGTCACGTATCTGAATCACAAAAATGAAAAACGTTTGATGATGGTCAACGAAATTGCAAAGTACTGTGATGGAACTCTGAAGATCATCAAAGAGCAGCTGCTGAAATTAAAAGAAGAGCTGGACAAAAAGCTTGCAGACGCATCGTCATACACTCAGAAGGAGCACGCAACATTGACAACCATTCTAAAGGCAATTGACGATCGCCTTGACAAGAGGAACATCCTTAGGCAATACGAGCATGCTCTTAACATCAGAAAACATTACTACCAAGCTCAGAAGGAGGAGAAGACAGCACTTGATCACAAAGGGGGAGATTGTTGAAGATAATTCTATTGTGAATCAAGTCTGTCAGTTTTGTCTGTAATAGCCTAGTCGACTATTTCCATTAAGCACTGATATACTGTATCTCTTAGAATAGTATTTAATATGGACCAAGTGTTAGGCCCATACAAAAGGCTAAAAGCCTTATTCGCATACCTGAACCTCGCCTATAAATAGGGAGCCGAGGATTCAGGTTTAGGTTAACTTTCGTACTTATTCATAATAGCCTTAAGCGCAAATCATTCTGTGTACGAGTTCACGGTATATCAAAGAGGGTTTTACATCGATTCATCTGTGTTCGTCTTTACGTTTAATCTTCTTTGTTATACTGTTATTCATTGCTGTTACAGAAACAGGGACTATCAAACAGATTTTAACATATTTTAATATTAAATTCTCTGACCCACTAAGTTAATATGCCTTGACACGACTTTACGAAAGAGTTGGGTACAAACAGATTTTAACATATTTTAACTCTAACATATGTTTCATATTAATTTACAAAGACGTGTGAGATTTAATGTAACAGATTTGGGTTAATGTTTCTCTAACATTTTAACTCTTCAAAATGATTGTATGTTTGTATTCTAAGAATTCCCTAGATGTGAAACATGTGTCTCTTTGTGACAGAGCTGTCATTTTTTATAAGTAAATAGAGCAGAAAAACAGTAAGTTAGATTTCAGTTTTTCTATTAAGAGATTAAATTCTCTGAACCACTAAGTTAATATGCATTGACCTCTTTCATTTAAGTATATGTCACCTTCCCACATCCTTATGTCATCTGTGATTGTTTCCTTACCTTTTCCACAACTTGAAGCAATAAAGGAGTAATACAGCAGGTCTAGGTTAGAGCTTTAATATGAGGTAAATTTAAAAGAGTCTTCCTGAAATAAAGTCAGAATGAAGCATATGACTTAGTTTTTATATTTTCCACAATTGGTAGTGGAGGCCTAAGCTGGAGCAACACAATCATTAGCTTAGAAATCACACATATGACTTCACACTTATTTCTCAAATTTATGAAGTATTCCAAATAGAAATATACTTTTTGTGTTCTCTTTTATATATTAAATAGTTCAGTTGGTTGTATAGTAACAGAGATGAATACAATAACAACAATGATTACGTTGAGCATCATAAAAGGAAGACATTTGCAGATATAGAATGCATCAATAACCTGCTATTCCCCCTCAGGAAAAAATTGGACAGAATTACAGAATACTAAACTTAAGTCACTTACCATACATTTGCACTCAATACATATTTCTTTTTAAAAAAGTATCTTACCTCCAAACGAAACACGTTGAGCTAAAGTTGCAAACAATCTTCCAAGCCTAAAAACATATTAAAAGGTACGCAGAGGATAAAATTAGTCTATGATAGATAGAACTCCAAAAAATACACCTTAAAGTATGAAAACTGAAAGAAAAAACCAGACGAAGTATGTAAAAATAAGATCACGTATAATAACAAAGTGAAGACAATACTAACAAAGTGTTTAATGAAACCAAGTCATTGTCATTAAATCAGTTGAAATCTGCTATTTCAGAATAGTTCAGAGGTATACAGAGCTATTTGTTATTGTTATCTTTTTTAAAATCTTTACCAAGGTCAGCAGCCCCATGGCTAACTGTTTCTTCAACTAAGGTTAAATGAAAATGAGGTAAATTGGGTAAGCAATATGCAGATTCATTGTAAGAAACAAATCATTTGAATTGGTTTGATTGTAATCCTACAATATAACTATGAATGTTGGAGTTTATCTGAGAGAAGTCATAGAGAACGAATTCAACAATAGGAAAGGAAAACTGTGAAGAGACAATCTTATAATAGTGAATCAAGGTTAGGGTAGTTTAGGTAGAAAAAAGATGAGTTAACCAATCATAAAAAACACAAAGACTCAAGATAGACAAATTCACAAACACCCTGTGTACTTCATAGTAGTATACTACATTTCCTCCTAAGATAAAACAAAATCAAATAGTCCTCCAAATGAGGAATTCCTCAATGCTCTCAAAATTTATTAATAGTTTACAGGTTGTTTTATACCAAAAGACACATACATGAGTTCTGAATTTTAAAACGAACATGAATAGAGAAAAAAGATAAGAAATTTAGGGGAAGACAAAAAATTTTTGGTAAAGGACATTTAATGTTACTTCCTTTGTTTCTGTGAAAATATGTATACTATCTGTTGAAGATCTATTGATGATTGTTGAAGATCAATCTGTAAAAGGGTGGCCAAGACAAAAAATTTCTACTGAAGGGAAGAGCAATTCAGGGGATAGTAAATAGAGAAGTGAAGGTCAATCTGGAAAAGATAAGAAAATGCATAGGTCATCAGATAGAGTTCCAATAAGCGGATAGCGAACCCACCTAAAATCTAAGTACAAATGCCCAAGTCTTAGTGGGGCTTGAGAAGTTCATCGAATTTTCTTTCAATGGAACAGCCCCATGGCTAACTGTTTCTTCAACTAAGGTTAAATGAAAATGAGGTAAATTGGGTAAGCAATATGCAGATTCATTGTAAGAAACGAATCATTTGAATTGCTTTGATTGTAATCCTACAATATAACTATGAATGTTGGAGTTTATCTGAGAGAAGTCCTAGAGAACGAACTCAACAATAGGAAAGGAAAACTGAGAAGAGACAATCTTATAATAGTGAATCAAGGTTAGGGTAGTTTAGGTAGAAAAAAGATGAGTTAACCAACCATAAAAAACACAAAGACTCAAGCTAGACAAATTCACAAACACCCTGTGTACTTCATAATAGTATACTGCATTTCCTCCTAAGATAAAACAAATTCAAATAGTCCTCCAAATGAGGAATTCCTCAATGCTCTCAAAATTTATTAAGAGTTTAAAGGTTGTTTTATACCAAAAGACACATACATGAGATCTGAATTTTAAAACGAACATGAATAGAAAAAAAGATAAGAAATTCAGGGGAAGACAAAAAAATTTAGTAAATGACATTTAATGTTACTTCCTTTGTTTCTGTGAAAATATGTATACTATCTGTTGAAGATCTATTGATGACTGTTGAAGATCTATCTGTAAAAGGCTGGCTAAGACAAAAAATATCTACTGGAGGGAAGAGCAATTCAGGGGATAATAAATAGAGAAGTGAAGGTCAATCTGGAAAAGATAAGAAAATGCTTAGGTCATCAGATAGAGTTCCAATAAGCGGATAGCGAACCCACCTAAAATCTAAGTACAAATGCCCAAGTCTTAGTGGGGCTTGAGAAGTTCATCGAATTTTCTTTCAATGGAACAGCCCCTCCCCTCTCGATTACGTAACCTAGCATTTGAGGATTGGCGATGTTAAGGAATAGCCCCTCCCCTCTCGATTAGGCATTATGGAACAGTGCCAACCCTATTACTCTCATAGTCTAATCCCATGCTGGAGCAAATTCAATCACAAAGAAATTTAGGAGGCGACAGATTATAGGAAACAGTTCACAAGCGCAGAATAAAACATAGATGCGTAAAACAGAAGGATAATCATACAAATCCGCAGGTAAAGCATCTATAGAATGCAAATTGATTGAATATAGAGGAAAACTCACCGCAGCTTATGCACCAAGATGGCAGAAGCGGAAAATTGATTGAATAGCTTTGCCACGGCATTTATAAGCAACCAAGGGAGGACGCTTGAGAAACCAAACTGCCCAAACGCCATTACTGTGGGGGAGCTATGTCGAGCAGTTGAAACGGAAGAGATGAGTCGAAGGGGCTCTTAGGATCTTCAGCGTACAATAAGGTAAAGTGTCGAGAAGGAAGAGGTTAAGGCTGTTTCGTTTTTTTTAAATTAAAGCTCAAACAATGCGAACACGTGTTTCCTCCGTTTATATGAGGACATAACGGTGGAAGGCGATAAGAGTTTAAAGATGTGCAACTAAGTGAACAGAAAGTACAATCAGCTTATGCACCAAGAACAACCAACATTTTTTGTATGACATAACGGTGGAAGGCGATAAGAGTTTAAGCCTTGACAATTATTCACTCTTATACTATTGTAGAGAAATAATGGCTAAAATATTACCTAAAATCTATGAATGAACAAAAATATGACCATTTTACAATTTACACATGAACAAAAATGTGACCTTAAAAAAGAAAAGCCTAAGCCATCGCTAAACGAACACAGAAGCATTGTCAGTCGACCTCCTCCGCCGAGCACCATATCATTGCCGCCTCTACTCCCCTGGATGTCTCTATCGCCTCCTCCGCTTCATTGATCGTCTCCGTCTCCATCACCATCACCGTCGTCCTTGCCCTCACGCCAATAACAGAGCAGATGCAACAATGGTATTCTCTGTCATCTTCTCTCTGGCCCTCGTCATCACCCTACCCCACTTCCTTTTATTATGTTTCTATCCGACATTGCCTTGGTGAAGGTTATTCTAGATCTTCAACGATGGGTTAACGACAGGGGAGTGGCATGGATTGTTGTTAACGTTAGATCTGGATCTAGATCGGTTCGGTTTTGGTTTAATCGGTTTGATAGAAAATGTACCAAATACAAACAGATTAAGTTTCGGTTTGGTTTCGGTTTGGTATGGTTCGGTTCGGTTTGGTTTGGAGTTCAGTTTACCAAAGTATTAAGGTTTGGATTGAAAAAAAAAAACTCAAAATAATGAATCAAGAAGTGATAGTAATGAACCATAATATAATGTTAGATATAAATTTGCAAACAGTAACAAAACACATATGAACTAAAAATATATAAGCATGACACATTTGTAAGCAACAACAACAACGGGAATGAATCAAATTATATATAAAGTCGAAACAAAAACAAAACTGGTGCTTGTAAGTAATGAACCAAATATATAGTAGTAGTAGATAATAAATTATAATTAAATACTATCTACTTAAACCACTATAATTGTTATAGCTGTGAATATAACTCTTGTAGCAAACTCTAGTCCCGGACACTAAAATTAAAGAATTAAAGCTTCAAAAAGATTAAAATCAATCAAATTAATGAGAGAAATCTTATATTTTGGTTTGGTTTAGTTTGGTGTAAGTTGGTTTTGATTTGTTATTTTAAAAAAATAAGAAATTATTTCATTTTTAGATTAGTTCGGTTTTATTCGGTTTTATTCAGTTTTATGATTTCGATTTGGTTTGGTTCGGTTTAATACGGGTTGGGAGGAATACTACCAAATTCAAACCAAATTACAAATTGTTCGGTTTTGGTTCGGTTTAATTCGGTTTGGTACGGTTCAGTTCGGTCAAACCGAACCGTTATGCCCACCCCTAAGATCTGGGATAGTGGTACAGTTTGTGCGGACCTTGGGAGGGTTGTGGGTTCACAGTGGGCATCGATCGGGTCATTTGGGGCTTGTTTGGCAATGTCGGATGGGGAGGTCTGTGGGATGAGGTTCGGCCAGCGCCGGCGACGTCAACCATCGGCGGAGGTGTGGGTGTCTCGACAGTGCGGTGACAATGTGTGGGGTGGGAAAGTGACAATGGTGCATGGATGGGGAGTGATGGTGCGGTGTGGACATTGATGGGCGGATTTGGTCAATGGTAGGCAACGGTGGAGGCAATAGTGGTAGTGCTCCGGCGGTGCCGGTGGGGTGGCATTCAAATTTGGTTAAAACTTAAGTTTTGCCAGAAAAAGTCATCTGAAAATTTCCCGACGATCATAGTGACACCGACGGCAGTGTCAGTGTCAGTGACATCGACGGTGGCGGTAATGACATATGTAAGTGACAATAAAATCTGAATTAATTCCACCTTTGATCTTACGAGTTTTATGTCACTTCCACATTTAATCCTCGTCTTTCACTTTGTCCATTTTTTGTACTTGACTAATGTATATGGACCATGTGTTGTCCTTTTCCAATGGTTTTAACCACCAGAATTATTACCGAAATGACCATATAGGGACAAAAATACAATAATCATGTATCAAAAGTGGTTAAAGCCAAAGTCGTGAATCAATCATGAAATCGGTGCAATACTCGTAGGACTAAAAGTGGATTTTATTCATGAAATGTGACAGTGACAGATCATAAAGTGACGTGAAAATATGCGGTGAGATCAATTAGTCACATTTTGTCCTACTAATATAGTAATATGAATGTGTTCACTTTTTTTGAAATTGGTACTCCTTATTAATTTAGTTATACGGGAGGGAGAGAGGAATAATAATGTAATGTTGTGAAATGAAGAAGATCAAGACTAAATTTATGAGATAGAAATAGATAAAACCTCTAAATTACTTCTTTTTAATATCTGAAAATTTCTGAGTTTCTGAGTTAGTTTACAAGAGTTCATCAAGCCCCTTTTTTTTGGATAAAGGGTAATTATATATTATCCAAAGAGTTTATGTACAAGTACATCCACAAAAAAAAGGGGGAGCAAAAATGGGGCTATCCCAACGAGGGATATGCCAAGACCTATGGGCTATACTATCAATCCCAAATCAGACAAAAGGGGCAAGGAGCCGTACTACACATTATAATTCAAAACATAATAAGTTCATGAGGGTAGATACTAAAAAGGATCTTATACACCATGTATTGGATCCTAGCAAAAACTTCCTCCTCATGAGCTTTGGCATCATCAAATTTGGTTGCATTCCGCACCCTCCATATCCAGTATATGGTGTAGATAAATGCAATCCGGGCAGCTTTGGCTTTGACTCCAGCACCTGCATGGTCCTTCTTGATCCACTTCACCGAGCTATCCAGGGTGGTCATCTGCCTAGGCATCCCAATCCATGCTCTCACTTTGCTCCATACTTGTCCTGTAAATTGACAACCAAAGTATAGGTGTGCTACCGTCTCCGGTTCACCCTTACAAAACGGACAGATGTTAATCACCTCAAGCCTACTAAGGTTATCATAAGTTGCTAGGCGATTGCGGAAGGCAAGCCAAGCAATAAATGAAAATTTAGGGGGTATATAGGCTTTCCAAATGAAAGGCATCCAAACCTGAGTGTTGCTCTTGATTCTAATGAGGTCATAAATTTTAGAGGAGCACAACTTCCCATTAATAACAAGCTTGGAAAGGGCATTAGTTGTGCTCCCAATAGAGTCAAATTTAGAGACCAAAAGGTCTCGGATCTGCCCAAACTTCTTCATAAGTTGGGAGTCCCTAGTGTGTGGGGAGAAATCCCACACACTTCTACCCTTAAGGTATACCCCATGCACCCACTTTACCCACAAAGTATCACGCTTAAGATGAATGTCCCACAAGGTCTTTGAAAGAAGAGCATTATTCCATGTTTTGGTATGTCTAATGCCCAAGCCCCCCTCCTCTTTTGGAAGGCACATATCAGCCCAAGCAACCCTGGAAAATTTGCACCCCCAAAAGAAAATACGGCAAAGTGAAACCACTCTGTCTAGGATGGCATGTGGTATAGGGAACACCTGTAACCAAAAGGAATGTACCCCCTGAATAACAGATTTGATTAGCTCAGTTCTACCTGCATAGGACAAGGTTTTAGTATTCCATGCGTTCAAATAATTTGTAACCTTCTCCAGGAGTGGGGCATATTCGGCCACAACCAGTTTTAGGGGGGAGAGGGGGATCCCAAGGTATTTAACCGGGAAAGCTCCCACTTTGAAGTCCACCAAATCAAGTATAGCCGTGAGATCATGGTCCCTAACTCCCCCCAAAAAAATGTTTGACTTGTCAAAATTGACCCTTAATCCCGAGACATTACCCAACTCATTTAGAGCATCTATCAAAATCTTAACAGAATAAGTATCCCCTCTACAAAATAACATGAAATCATCAGCATATGCAAGGTGTGAAATCTTAAGGCTACCACATTTAGGGTGGTAGTTAAAACCCGAGGTGGTTTTCAAGTTCATTAATCTAGATAGGTATTCCAAGCATAGGACAAAAAGGAGAGGGGACATAGGATCCCCCTGCCTTAATCCCCTCTTACCTCGGAAGAAACCATGTAGTGTCCCATTGAGGGAGATTGAGAAGGAAGCAGTTGAAACACACTCCATGATCCATTTAACAAATTGCAAAGGAAAACCAATGTTAATGAGTACACTACTAAGGAAATCCCAAGAGATGGTATCATAGGCTTTCCTAAGGTCCACCTTAATCATACACCTAGGTGAGCAATGTTTCCTAGTGTACCCCTTAACCAGTTCTTGCCCTAAAAAGATGTTATCCATCATAAGTCTACCATTTACAAAAGCCCCCTGTGCATGGTCAACCAAACCGGGTAGACAAGGAATCATTCTATTAGCAATAATCTTTGTGATGACCTTGTAAATAACATTTGTGCAAGCAATAGGTCTAAAATCAGCAGCCGTGGGGGAGTGTGATGTCTTAGGAATTAAAGCAATAATCGTGTGATTAATTTGCTTTAAAATCCTACCAGAATCAAAGAAACCTCTCACAGCATCAATGACATCATCCCCAACCACTGACCATTTTTCCTTGAAAAAGGCAGAAGTAAATCCATCTGGTCCTGGGGCCTTGTCATCCCCAATGTCAAACAAGGCATTCTTAATCTCTATGTCTAAGATGGGAGAGAGCAGCCCTAAGGACTGGTCCCTACTTAGACATGTCCCGGATGTAATAATGCTAGGGTCAATTGGAGGACAACTTACCGGAGTTCCAAACAGATTAACATAAAAATTTTCAAGTTCCTTAGCAACCTGATCTATAGAGGTAGTAAGCTCCCCATTAGGTAGTTTTAAAGCCGTAATGGAGTTCTTAGCAGCCCTCTTTTTCACAATTGAATGGAAATATTTGGTACACCTATCACCTTGAAACAAATGAGTGGCCTTCGCTTTTTGCCTAAAGAAAGCATCCTCGGCCTTTTTAAGAAAGAGCACTCTCTTCTTAGCAAGTTGA